TTTAGCAGCGTTGTGGTCAGAAACAAAGGAAATAACTTCATTTAAGATAAAACCATTCTATGTTATCTTTGTGTTAGACACATTCACAATGCAAAATAATAAACAACGGAATGTCACCTGCATTCTCGTGGTCTATATGGATAAAATGTTAAAGGATTTAGATAAAAATAGGGAATATTAATAATTTAGTATGAATAAATATGCCTAATAGCTGTTTAGATAAGACCCAGAGATAAACTTTCGACTCTAGCTGTTAGCGTTTTGGCTTAATCACCAACTATAGTCATGAAAGCATTTCATATCCACTTTTATTCCCTAAACATTTTGTGCAATATATGAAATAACATATATTAGTATAAAATCTGGTGTAAATTTACATAACAATGTATTTATTATAGTTCGTTTCACATTCAAATAGTTTAAAATGATTGCTTTCAAAGAGACTACAGCGTTGTTTTGAAGAGACTTTGACCTCATTTTCAAAGGTCACACAAGAAAAGATTAATATAGAATTTTTATAGAGTCTCATTTAGTAGTTTTGGAATTAGTTCCTTAGCTGAAGGAATAGTTAGGATTTTTATTTTCTTATTTTCCTGTGAAGCAGGATTGTGTGGAATCGGCAGTCCGTCACCTGCAGTAGCTGGCGGTCAGAACAGAAAGTTCTTGTTGACGGGTCGAGCTGACAGTTAACCAGACCGTAGCCGGTTTCTGTCATCGAATCAGAACAAAACCCAAATCACGTCATGCAAATACTATTTTTTACTGCTTTATCTGTAGCGACGCGTAACGTAACAGACGTGTGTTCCTGCAGCGTTAGCAGCATGCTGAGCCTGGCGTGCTCTGGCAGCGAAACAAAACATGCGTTTGGATGCGTCCAAAACACGAGCTCCGTGTCCGGTGGAAATGCACCCATCTAAATGCTGCGTACTACATTACAGCAACACCTACGCGTCCGGTGGAAAGGCCCGGAGAAGCATGCGGTGGAAAGCCGAGGCCGGATGATGATTTATACTGTAACTCGTCTCAGTCTGATCAGGTTCTAGCTGGACTCTTAAATAAGAACTTCTCTCTGACTCTCCAAACTCCGATTGCTCCGACTGCTGCATACTACTTTGCAAAACTCCAAACTATTCCACTGATAAACACTAACATCATCAAAAAAGATGAATGTTTTCAGCTCCACACACACACGCTCAGAAATATGTGCAATTTACAGAATTTCTGTCATTTTAGAAGTTCACGTTGGACTAAAACGACTTTGAATTGCTGCACTAGTAGCGAGCTTTAGAGTTTTATTTTGTATCTAGAATAGTATTTAACTGTTTTTACCTATCGTACGTAAAATGTCACACCTGTAGGGGGGACGGGCTCAGCAGCAGCATCTCTGAGAGTTTCTGATTTCTGAGACAGCTCAGATACATTTCAAGTGTCAGAAATTTCACAGAACAGCATCGAGTGAGGGAATCCTGGCCTGGCTGCTCAAAGGCTGCAATTGTTCGACTGCACTTTGTGTTCACAGGTAATAATCAAAGCTCAGGCTGATCAGAGAGCAGTTTCTCCTGAAAGAACCGGGCAGGTGCGTCCCCACAGAAACAGGGACGCTGCCTTCTTCACATTCAACCGGTATGAGATTAAGAGAACGACGGAGAGTGAACAAACACACGAGGTGAGCAATCATACATGAGGAATGAGGAGGGGACAGAAGTGTCTACACAACCGACAGACATGAGGAATGATGAGACCGTGCTGTGACGTGCGACAGTTACATTCACTCAAAACAAAAGGAGCAAGACGATGGAAATCGTCCACCTTGTGTTCTTTCTTCAGGATGATGTGATTGTTGAAAGTTACAAGCGAGGTACATCTAAGTAACAAATAAATCATAATGAAGAGGAAATGTCCTTCATCAAAGACCAAAAGAAAGAAAGAAGAAATGAGATTTACAGCGAGTTTAAAATCATATCAAAATAAAACATGAGTCCCGACTGCCTGGAGAAGCAGTCGACTTCTATAAACACGCGCAGCGCGGGCAGGTCTCGCCACTCAGCTGGCTTTTGGGTTCAGTGCATTCTTTAAGGAGGCGGGTAATTTGTGTGGAGTTATGGCGGCTGCTGTTTACGGCGGCGGATGGTTGTTTTAGGCCCTAACTCATTTGACATACTCAGCTGACTTCCAGAAGTGGCCGGGGTGGGAAAGGCGGCGGTTCCGTTTTGGCAACTTTTCCAGTAAATCTACGAGCTTGGAGAAGGTGGGCCGCTCCTCCTGCTTGTACGCCCAGCACGTCAGCAGAATGTCCTGGAAAACACAGACACCAAACACTCATAACGTGCTTTCACTCGTTTAAACAAGATGGCTCACATTCTACATCATTCAGCAAGCGTCAGACCGGGTTTTCGATACTGGAGGTGACTTTGTTCTCTATCCTTTAAGACCTGCAGCTCATTCTAAGAAATGCATTTATTTTTCTTTCTTTTTCTTTAGTTTGGAAGATGCAATCAGATTTTTCTGAGTGCTAATTGCTCTGACCTTCTGCACCTCATGGGTGTGTTTTTACCAGCATACTATGATCAGAGCTGTTTACTCTGTGACTCTAACCCCGGGTTTCCACGGGAGCCGTCAGCAGCACGTTACTGCAGCAGCACGTCTTGCTCGCGTAAGCTGCTGCTTGGCCCTTCCCACGAGACGCGAAGCAGCAGGGGAGCAGCTGTCACCGACCGAGCACGAAGTCACATGAGTGACTTCGTCAGTAAACACAACAACAAGCAGGAGAAAACTACAACATGGCTCCAAAATGTTTGTGTTTTATGCTCTGTCCGTTTTATAATCGCCAATACGGACCTGAAAAACAAAGGAGACCGCTAGCTAGGCGATAACTTCTCACGGGGACGCACAGTTAGTGACCTTTTTTAAAAGTAAAGCAACCGGAAGGCAGTACGTTCTTTATTCTGAAAATCTCGGGAGCTTCTCTCCATTTCCGCGTCTGATTTCCTGTCTTTCCGTCCCCAAAAATGTCGAACTTGACCCGTTTCAGAGGCGTCGCGCGTAGGAAATAGAACCGGCGCGTAAAGGCCGCGACATGCTGCTCCTGAGACGCGGCCGACTCACGCTGCTGACGGCTCCGGTGGAAAAGGTTCTGTTGACCACAGCGGTTCCTATCAGCAGCTATGACGTGCTGCTGCAGTAACGTGCTGCTGACGGCTCCGGTGGAAAGCCGGGGTAACACGCTCAGTGAAGTAGTTTTAGGCTAAAAACGGAGTAACCAGAAAATTAGAGTTGGCTTATAATTTCACACCATCTGTTAGATTTGGAGAGAAATCTTAGTATCTATGGAAACTTTACAATATTTCTAGATTGTGGAAGATTGACATAGTAAAAATGATCAAAGCCGTTTAAAGATGCTGATTAAAATCTTGCAAGTAAACATGTTGGTGAAAATCAGACGTTTTTCTTTCTACAGCAAGATTTTACAGCCCTGAGCAGAACTTAGTCCGCTTCATTTATGTTTAATTAAACGGTCGCGAGTATCTTGCTACAGATTTTTATCAGCAGGGTTACTGAAGGGAATTTATGCTAAATTAAATAATAATGATTTTAATTGTCCCTTCAAAGAAGTTTTGACATCAAAACCTTTTTCATGGCCGTTAATATAATTTGATTCCAGGCAGCCTATTATCTTTATATAGCAAAGCTTTCGTTTTAATTTTAAATAAAGTGTGAGAACTGAATGAGCGCAGAAATGAGCGGCTTATTAAATATCGCCGCTGAGGGAAGAGGTGTGATTCCTACCAGTATCTCCTTCCCCATGCCGGTTTGGGCGAGGTTGGGCTTCATGCCGCTGCCGATCTGCCATATGATCACCTCTGCTGGCTGATTCTTATAAGGCCACTCACGTGCGTGTAACTCGTACCAGATGGTTCTGCAAAGACAAGAGCAGAGTGGGTCATCGCTTTGAACCGTCTTGTCATCATTGTTCTTAAAACACGAACCAAACACCAGCAGGCGACCATAAAACCACTTTAAATGCTGCTTTTTGTGCAGCTGGGACTTATTCAAAAACATAAATGTGTTTTTCAATATTATTCTCCTCAGCATCTAACATTTTTCATTCATAAATTACAGATTTTTTCACTTTGGTCATGTTGGAGTAGTTTACACCGCCTTCCTTTGTGCAAATGAGCCGTTTCCATTCCGCTCCTGCATGCCACGCTCGAGTCGAATAAAAATAGCTTTTTGCCAGGAGTTAAGGGGGAAACTGACGTCTGATCGTCGATGAATATGCATAACGGCCAAGGGGGTCACCTCTAGGCGATACGAAGGCCAACAGAGCAGCGGGACATTGTGCAACAGCGCTGCAGTTCTCGTCCCTTTAGAACAATATCAACAGAACCTCCATACAGGGGAACCATCTGAAAATGCAGCTGTGTTAGTCAACAGAGCGGGGTCAACCTCCACAAATGAAGCAGTGGTAATGGCTGTGGAGGAGGACCTGGAGCCAAAGAGGCCTTTAATCAACTTAGGACACATTTAAAACGGGGCATCAAAGAAGGAGGTAGGGGAGACGTATTTCATATCATGTGTGTGTGTGCGTGCGTGCGTGCGTGTGTGCGTGTGTGTGTGTGTGTGTGTGTGTGTGTGTGTGTAACAGTGACTACTAGTAATATGTGGTTTTGGCACAATCCCATCCTGTATAATAGGTAATCAAACCTTAAATAGAAAAATCACTTTTAATTGAAGCATTTGGTCTGATTGATGTTTTGCTACATTTATTTTTTACTTTCTCATATTTTCTGACTTATTTATAACTTTTTTCCCCTCACCTTCAGTTTGCAGCAAAAAACCTCCAGCGGAACATGTAATAATAACTTTTTCTTAGTTGCATGTTCACTACAAAACACTTTCATGAAGCTCTTTGCACTAAATCCCTCTCAGCAGTTTTATTCTGGACAGTTTCAGTACCTTCCAGAATGAGCCGTTTCAGGGCTCTGTCACTTTAAGAAAACAAGCTGGAGCTGGCCATGCCCACCCATCCCCCGCTCAGGCTGCTATGATCTGAGAAGCTCTGATCTCCTTGAGGGGCTCTGAGTAGAGCTGCTGCTCCTCCAGCTCCAGTTCACTGGCATGTGAGGGGCATTTCTTAGTTCAACTTCTCCCGTTTGTGACATCACAAATGGGTACCTTTTGAAATGGCTTATTTTAGGCACTTATGTCCTAAAACCAAACACTGAAAGAAAACAGAAGAGTGGGTGTTGTCACTTTTGGAGTGTTTATAGAGGCAATTCACCCACATGGCAGCACAAAAGGCTGTAAAAGTGAGTTTTACATAAAATACCTGCTTAAATATCTGAAAGAACAAGCCATAGAGGAGCATGCGCTTAATCTACACTCGATCTGCTTCTGCAGAATTATCCGGTCTTCTGGCAAAACTGGTTAAATAGAAAATACTTCAGTCCAAATTACAGGTGGAAAGATTTCTAGGTTATTGATGCAAATCCTGATCCTGAATGTAGACTGCCTCAGCTGGTCGGAGAAGATATTTTCGTTTGGTTTTGTGTTACATTTGTTTGTTTAGTCCTCTCTCAACTCTTAATGTTTTATTTTTGGTGCATCCAAATATCATTACTCCTTCAGTTACTATCTGTGTACTAAAGGGTACTGTTTTTCAGGAAATGCCCCTTTCACATCACCCAGTCCTGTTTCACTTCACGCACGCTTGGCATTTGTCAACAGTTTGCTATTAATATCCAAGTTCAGACACTTTCGGGACACATGAAAAACAGGACATCTGTTCAGAGGACACTCACCCAAAAGCAAAGACGTCTGACTGTTTGGAGAAAGGAAGCTTGTCCTCCTCTGTGTCCGGAGAAAGCTGCTGGATTATTTCTGGGGCCAGGTGACACAGCCAGCCGTTGGGGATTCTCAGTTTGTCTTCTCTTCGGCTGCAGAGACAAAACATGAGGACAAAGATTTGCCAGGGTTTGTGTATTGATCTGCGGTATAGCGCAGCTAAGCTCCTCCATGGGTTTGTTTTTATCATGGAGCACTGTCATTACACATCTGTGAGGTTTTCTCCATCACTGTTTTAAGGGCTTTATTCCATGTGGTTTCAACACTATTTCGATCAAAATTGTCTGTAAGAACACCCACTTGTTCACTGATTATTTACTCCAGATTTTAAACCATTAAATCAGTCTAAAGCAAGTTTTGGGTTTTCTGGTGTGAAACTTGTTTAATGCAGAAACAAAAGTGTCCATTTTTACCCAGTTTTGTCAGTAATGTCTTAATAAATTCTTAACACGATGAATGTGGTCTTGGAAAACGCTCAAACTTACAATCCTGCCCAACTAACTAGCACAAATGCTGCATCCCCATGGCCGTTGCACCATGTAGACATAAATACCTTAAACTGAGGTCACTTTTTACAAGGTTTGACCAGATTTTTCTCAGAAAGAAACATTTGACCTGAAAGCATCCCGATGGAGCATTAGTATTAGTACCTTTATCAGAAACCTTCCACAACGCCAAACGTGTTTACTGCTACCTGGTAGAGGATCAACAGAAGGGCCAGTTTTATTTCATTAACACTGTTATGATGTTATATTCAAGACTCTGTTCAAGCGCTGTAGTGCACTCATTGTCCATTCTCTGCAGTTTTGATTACCCTGTGCAGGGCCTTCCTGTCAGCTGCAGAGCTGCTGCTGTACCACACCAGGATGCTGTTGGTCAGGACGCTCTCTATGGAGCAGTGATGAAACCACACCAGCAGTTTTTGTGGCAGGTTGATCTTCCTGAGAGCCGTTGTTGTGCCTTTTCATCCGGCTCTCGAAGAGCACAGACGCTTCTGCCTTTTTTCCCAAGGCTTTTTGTCCCGTCTGCCTACAGAGCGCTTCTTTGCATTTATTCTGGAAATCCCTATTTTTTAGAAATGGATTTAATTAATTGGTCATTCAATGCAATTGATAAGATTTTTTCTACGATGAGAACGGAGGAGGGGGCTTCCACTTGCCCACAAGAGACACACGCAGCGGGATATGCGCTCGATTCCTGGAAGGTCTGGAGGATCGTATGCCTCTCTCAGTTGTCCATTGAGGATGTCGAAGACACGTGGATATTTGGCCTGATGATCACTGGATTTCTTCTGATTGGAGTGGGAGGATATCTGGTTTTCTGGAAATTTGGGATGACGGGAGCGATTGGAGTGTGACCCACACCCACGGAAAGCATCGCCCGGGCGGTGACCTCACAGACTGGGACGTTACTCGAGGCGAATCGTAAGCTGGACAATGTCCTTGCTGCGTTACCGGTATTAGTGCGCAAAATGGATGTCATCTCGGAGAGAGTCATTGGACGGTGTGGGGATGATTAGAACCTGAATTGGCTTCACTGGAGGACTTGAATGATCAATACAGACTTCAAGGCAGAGAGGAAAATTATCTCTGGCTGACCCAAACAAAGTCTGGTTATCCAAATCTCACGCCAAGGCAGCCTCGAGCTGCTAACAACAACCCCATGAAGGAAGGAATGCAGACAGATGTTGTTGTTATTATTATTATTAATACTACAAAAAATAATACTAACAATAATAATAATAATAATAAATTATTGTTGTTATTATTAATAAATTATTATTAATAATAATTTATTAATAATAATAATAATAATAATAATAATAATAATAATAATAATAATAATAATAAATTATTATTATTATTTTGTATTATTATTATTACTACTTTTACTTGTTTCAGAGAATGAAAATGTCTGCATTTCATTTGATTTTGGCAATAAATTCACTCTTTTCTATCGTTTCTATTGAACGGCGTTAGAGTCGTGACCTGACCTCAGATTGTCAGTTACCATCTTTAGCCGTCTTCGCTCTAAAACGCTGATGTACGGATGTATTGAGAGGAAAACAGAAGGAGATGACGGATGAGCAGAAACATTCATTTTAGGCTGGATATTTTTGTCAGCACAGACAGTACAAACAGAAACGACACATGATGGAAGTGATGAATCACTGGTGTGATAAAAATGCTAGAAACTGTCTCACACTGCACTAGCAAAATGAAGATATTTGCTGTAATTTGCCATGACACGCAGAGCACACCAGTCATCCCATATTGTGTCCGCTCTACATTGACCTAAAGAGACCGAATCTTTCATCAACGTCCAAGAAAATGTTTGGAAGCTGTGAAACCTCTCTGGAAACACATCAGTGAACTCACAGATTAAAATCTAAACACACCTATGACACCAACTTTCATTGGTTGAAATGTAAAAATAATTATAATGACATACGCAACTAATTAGTTCATTTTTGGTTAATTCATGGCAATTGTTTTTGCCATTTTTTTATGTTCACCCAAAATATTCCATAGATGATCTTTCAAGTTCATTTTTTATTTTTGCTGAGGATGATCCATATGGTTTTTTACCAATCTAATCTCATTCTTAATTTCAGATACCGATATAAACCCATTCCAGTGGGTGGAGGGTCCCCGCTCAGTAAAAAACAACAACAAAAAACAAAATCGTTTTAAGTAGCTAACATCATATATACCTCATCACACACACGTAAACTATAAACATTATCTATGAAAATTATGACAACTACTTCAGTTTGTTAGGCCTGTTACCAAATGTGAAATTTGTGTCATTAAATAATAAAAATCGATGCCAGTATATACAATTTAAAGGATCCATCCAAACCTATATCTGTTTAATGCCAACATCAGACATTCCTAAATCACGCACATCTCAGGACTCAGTGTTTTATGGCTCACTATACATACAACATTAGCGCTGCTTTATAGCTTTCTCCACATATTTTTACATCTTCCCATTTGTATCGTGTCAAAAATAATTTATTTGGACATCGGTGGAGCCCGATATATAAATATTAGGGATGGACAATATATTGGCATCAATATCGGTATCAGTTCGATAAATAAAACAAGGCCGATATTAACAACCAAAATGTTTGCCATCTCATCTCCATTTGTTTGCCTCTTTCAGAGGGTGAGGGGGGTGATGTGTGATCGTTTAGTCATGTGAACAGTGAATGAAATCATCTCAGAAGCGTAAATGTGTGTGTTGTGTGTACATAATAACACAATTCAGCTTTAATAATTTTAATTCTATACAAAATCTGCTGATTTTAGAAGCATTAATGTCAGTATATCGATATCGGCAAATATCGGTTATCGGATATTGGTATTGGCCCAAAAATTTTATATCGGTGCATCACATATGTGTGTGTGTGTGTGTGTGTGTGTGTGTGTGTGTGTGTGTGTGTGTGTGTGTGTGTGTGTGTGTGTGTTTACTGCTGAAATTGTGCACATTTGAATGATAAAGGCACTTTTTCTTAACCGGCGAGGCACCTGGCTTGATTAGGCTCCGCCCACCACTCAGTTGCAGTGGTTCTGAATTTCAAAAAGGAAACGCAGACCATGTTTCATCTACATTTAATTTATTCATGAATAAGAATTTAGTCTAACAAGACTAGAATTACAGAAGCGTGGAAAATAAGAGCGGTCTTTCCTAACAACAGCACGTTTCTATAAAAATGTCAACTAAAACTTACTTTAACCAGAAAAGTTGTCTTAGTGAAATGGCGTAACAGTCTGGGGCCTGAATAAACCCTGAATAAACGAGGACGTTACTTTAGTTTAACCGTTCAGAAGTACAGCAGGAGGCGGACGTGAGGACACTGAACCAAGCATTCCCTTTGTCACACTTCTTATGTAAGATATCTACTTTTATTTTTAAGTGAGATCATGGCAGCCAGGTTGAGACGTGAATGAGCTCCTGAGAACAGTATTTTCTATGATGTCTAATGTAATATCAGGACATTATCATCATGCAGCACAAACCCTCCAGGTGCTTGGCTCCTCTGCTACCGTTGGCCCTCTGGCAATAAAAGGGTTTTTATCTAGTTGAACAATTTCAGTGAACCAAGTGAAACCGGAGAATCCAAGACTGTACGGATGGGGGTCCATGTTTGATGGACTGCATTGGTAAATGTACTCTAGTGTGTTTTTTTTACTACCAGGGGTTGAATCAGCAGAGATGCATGCCATAAGATGTGCAGAGTAATCCTTTTGTGTTCCTGAACAGCGCCTGTGCGTGCTTCTGATGAATCAACTTAACATTCAGTTGCTGCTATGTAAATGCTTGATAACTTAGCAACTTCTTATATTAAAAATAAATAGAAAATCCTGTTTGGATGGATCTTTATCCAGTGTGCTCTCATCCCTATGGCAACATCTTCACCGTGCTACCCACAAACATACCTGCCAGCCTGCAGAACTCCAGATATGGTAAACAGTCCAAAGTCAGTGATGACGACTTTGCCGTTGTCATAAAACACATTCTTGGACTTCATGTCTTTGTGCAAAATCCCTTTAGCGTGGAGGTACCCCATCCCCTGAGGAGAGAGAGAGAGAGAGAGGGATTTGACGGTCCTGAATTACGATGACGAATACTGCTGAAGAGTTCAGAGGAATCCATGTTCAGGTCTTTTACCTTGACCATCTCTTGTGCGATCTGCCGGGTCTTGTTAACATCCAGGACCACCTTGGGATCCCTCACCACCGAGTAAAGTGTCCTGCCTTTACAAAGGCTGTCAGAGAGGGAAAAGATCAGGGATCACAGAACAGAATGAGCAGGTTTTATCCACTCATAACCATAGCAGCAAAGGCACTTTGCTCTAGGGCTGCTCAATTAATCGAATTTTAATCACGATTACGATCTGAGTTTTGAACGATTATAAAAAACATAACAAGCCGATTATTTGCTCCTCCCGCTTGCGCTGCCCTGAGTTGCAAATGAAGCGCTCCTCCACAGTGTTGCCAACTTAGCGACTTTGACGCTATTTCCTAACAGCTTTTCAGACCCCCTTCTTGACTTTTTAATCTTAAAAGTACCTGGCGAACACCTCAGAAACATCTCTGGTAACCCTTAGCTACTTTCTGGATAACTGTCGTCGACATTTCCTGCAGGTTAGCTAAACACTCCGCCTGCACTCCGGACCGTTCTTCAGGACATTAGGAAAGGGAATGATGCAGTGATGTGTCGGTCGCTAAAGAAACGGCTCTCGGAGCCGGCTCCTTGTTGGAGTAACCAGAGTGAGTGACACACACACTGCACCTGCGGACTCCTGAGCTGCTAAAAACAGCTAAATGTGCGCGTGCAGCGCGCTAAACACACGTGTAGCTTGCCCGATTGCTGTGAGACCGGGTTGGGGGGTGGGGGGTGCAGCTGTGGTCGGGACAATTATTACATTAACTGATGGGCCTGTAAATAAATAGTTTATAAATAAGGTAGGAATAAGTTCCTCACGCTGATAAATAATAACTAATCTCTCTGAGGACAAGGTGCTACAGCACCTTGACATGACTAAATAAATGTTATGCAACATTTTGTGAACATCAATTTATTTGCATGTATTTGTTATAAATGCCACTGTACAAATCTTGCTGTCAGTATTTGCCAGATATTGGTATTTGGGTCTGTACTGGTTAGACTCAAGGTCTATAGGCCTTGGGTCATAGACTATGAGCTATAAGTATATTGGTCTTTTTATACTGGGAATCAGGAGTTATTTTAGTGATCATCTTGTTTCTTATTTTTGTCCTGATTGTGCCCTGAGCAGTTTTATGACTGAATAAAAACAAATAAAATCAACATAAATTGAAAAATCGTCCTAAATAATCGTGATCTCAATTTCAGTCACCATAATCGTGATTATTATTTTTGCCATAATCGAGCAGCCCTACTGTGCTCCCATGATGCGTTTCTCATCAGTTAGTCATATTTTAGCAGGATCACGACAACATTTTCACAGACAGCGACACAACCACCCACATTCTCTCATCTGAGACCCTCAACCCCAACTGCGCCTCATAGGTGACCACCAGAACAGGACCTGAGGCTGCCCATTCATGCATATTCATTCCAAACATAAAAGGTATCAGCATCCAACGTTTGGTTTTGTCTATATCAATCCCCCTCTGGGATTAATAAAGTATTTTTGAATTGAATTGAATTGAATTGAATATATGGAGGCAAAGATGCAGCCTTCATGGCTAATGGCAATAGCTGTACCTCAGACACAGAGATGAAAAGCTAATGAGCCCACCTCCACGCACCGAAAGGCACCTCTGCGCTTTGAAATGAAGCAGTTATGCCAAAAACATAGATAGAAAGTCAGCAGCAACATCGCAGATGACGTCAAACTCACAAGACGTCATACGTGAGCTCTGCGGACTCAACCCACAGCTGCTCACACAGGAAACAGCAGAGGAAGAACTAAAGAAAGGAAGCGATGTTTAACAGTCATTTTACTTCTTTAAAGAGCAAGTCACTCCAAATCAACATTTTTTTGCTGATAAACTATATAAATGAGTGTCTGGTCGTGCTGCAGACACATGTAGTCAATAATTCGGCACTTTAGTGCATCTTAGTTAAAATTTAAATATTCTGCCTAAAACTGTCAGTGTTGCACCGTCGTCAGGTAAAAACTCAGCACTGTATTTGAATTTAAATCTGCCACCGCTATTGGCTAAGAGGTGCGCTATGATGTTAGGTGGTACATTATGATGTCACAATGTCGTGAGTGTGTGTATTTGTTAGCGGCTCCACCCCCTGGGTCTGCTAGGCAACAGCATTTGTTGCATTTTTCAAACAGGAAGTGGGAGTTGAGTAAGAATCTGGTAGGCGGTGACTTGCTCTTTAAGGTTTGATGTTGCAGAAGAGTTGTGCCGTAACTTGACTTTTCATGACACTGATGATTTTTTTTTCTGATGCATGAAGCAAAGTGTGGCTAATAAAACCACCGGTTGGTCTGACACTTGTTTTTTTATTATTGGTGATTTCTCATCTGCTCCTTTGCAACTTCATCAAACTCCAACTGCAATCGCGTCACCAAACATCGGGGCGAGCGAAGCGCTTTACATCGTGATGGAAACAAAAAGACCAAACAAATCCACTAAGACTCTCACGTTTTTTTTAAAGAGAAGCAGAAATAAAAGGATGATTTCACTGTTTTTGTTATGCACGGCGGATGAAAGCATCAAAAAGCCCAATATCCAAACAATTACCATTTGAACATAATTAGTTTAGCTAATTAATTAAATGACAGCTTTTCTTGCGATGCTCCTGAATGAGAACGCCGCTCCCTCCGTCTGTTCTGCAAACGCACTAATCCGTGAGGTAATTAAAGGTGTAAACGATGTGGGAGAATTCCTTCAAGTTCACTCTGCATCGCTATCTGCCTTCAGACTGCCGTTTGTGAGCGGTGTGGGCGGCTCATCTACTCAGCAACAGTCGCCGCCCGTTCTAATCATAACGTCTGCATGCTTCGCTGTCAGACACTCTGCAGAGGAGCAGATCCGTGGATGATCTGAGCCGGGTGCCAGGGGACCAGGACTGACTGAGGACCTCACAGCTGCCGAGAGCGAATGCAGACGCAGAGAAAATCCCATAAATCGGAGTTCTGATGCCAGAAACGAGCCTTGAACACGACCAGAACGCCGCCCTGTTTATTCTCCTCCTCTTTTCTAAAAGATGTTTTGATGCTTGTTGTCATCTTTAACTCAGCATGCCCTCTTCATCCGTGTTTATGGTGAATAATAAAGCATTAGTGAGCATCTTTGTGTAAATAATGTTGTGAATTTTCACAGCATTACTTTATTCACAACCATTATTCAACCGTTCACAGATGGCTTGTTTAGGGACACGAAGCCTAAAATAAAAAAACTGACAGAAAACCAGATTTTTTTCATGTTCATGGATGCAGCAGAGACCCGCATGGAGGCACAAAAAGATGCAAAAGCTGAGTTTTGCATAATATGTCTCCTTTAAGTTCTGATTTACACTCAATAAACATCTACACACCACATTTTTATGGGTGGGGATGCATACATTTCCTTATCCTCTTATGCTCTTATTAATGCACCATTGATATTTATATTTTCTTTCCTGGTTGCATTTTGAGTTTGCATTTACTTCAAATCAAACACCTTCTTACAAGCATAGCCAAGGTCACAATAAGAGCTTTCTATGAAGTTGCATCACCCATTTTTACTGTATTTTTACTGCTTAGAAAATAGGTCCTTATTCTAATAATTAAAGCAATTTTTATTCTAATAGAAACTTTGTCAGTAATCAGTTCCAGTGTTAGAGATGCTTCTCCACATTTATGGAGACGTTCTCTAGGGTTAGGATCTAGAGACCGTGCAGCGGAGGCAGGGTGAGAATGTCAACTATCACAGCCAAAAACTGCTTTGTTTCACGTTTTTCTGTCCAGCGCACTCCAGCGTCTCCTGCTTCCTACCTGGTAATGATGGCCAGATGTGGCGGGCTCATGCACAGCCCCATGAACAGCACCACATTCTCATGGCGAGTGTTGCGGTAGGCCATCACCTCACGTTTGAAGGCCTTCAGCTGGTCCTCGTTGTCACGCTCGATGTCGATCAAGCGGATGGCGACCTCCCCGTGCCACCGGCCGTGGAACACTTTGCCGAAACGCCCTTTTCCGATCATCTCTCCGATCTCCAGCTGCTCAAAGGGGATGTCCCACTCCTGCAGGAAAATGCTGGTCTGACTGGCCTTGCGTGGGAAGTTTCGGGCCGACAGGAGCGACAGATTCATCTCCTCAAACTCATCGCCAGAATCCTCGTTGTTGCCATCTTCATTCTGGGGTGAAGGGAAGTCAGCTCGTTAATGACTCTAGTTATCTTCTGAAGAGGTTTTTCATTCATTCCCAAAGTTTTTGCTGTGAAGAAAGTTTATTCAGGTCTTCAGTTAGTTTTCACTAATTACTTAATATTATTTATTATGAATATTTCATAAAGTAGCTGTTTTAGAAAACAGGACAGCGTTTGTCCGTCTGGCTGTGCGTGTTTGTTATTTCGACTGTAGTCGAGAGGAAATGGAGATTGAGAGAAAACAGCCAGAAGGAAAAACCGGCTGATTTACTGATTTGATTTTAAGTATAATGAACCCAAAGAGTGAAAATAACCTCTTCAGAGATGCCAGCTGTAATATTATTCAAGGCAATCTGCATAACATTTTCTCTGAATCCATCATTGTTCCAGAAACGGAGATGACGAGCAGTGATCTTGCTGCTTTTGACGCATAACTTACCTGGAGGCTTCTCAGAGAGCTGCGACAAATTATACTGAATGAGAGAACAACGCAAATGACTGTGACAAGTGGCGGCGCGAGCTGCTTTTGTTTTGTTCCACTCAGACGGAAAAACACGGAGAAGCAACACGACTCGTGGCTCACATGCAGAGAGAGGGACTCACGTCTGATGTGGGCTCAACTTCGATCTGAAGTAGCGGGTTTCCTTCATTCCTGCAAGCAAAAAGCAAGAAGGAAATGAGTCAAATATCAAGAAAAAGGAGTTTTTTTATTTTTACACAGTCCTGCAGCCTTAAACAAGGACATGTCTGCATTTTCTTCGTCTCTATTTTGTTTTTGTAAATCTCTAAAGTCCCATTAGTCATCATCACATATTGGATTCACCTCCACATTTGACCCGTCCCCGTGGAGCCGTGAGCTGCAGCAGTGGCTGCACTCGGGAACTATTCAATCACCCGTTCCAACCCCATTACAGCAGGGAGGTTGTTAAAGTCTTTGGTATGACCCGACCGGGATTTGAACCCCGATCTTCCTGTCCCAGAGCACACAGTCTACCACAGCGCCACTGAGAAGGTATGCTCGTGATTGCCCCCTCAGGCCAAAAGCGTAACGGCAGCTTCAATAGTAGGCTCGTGCACGAGGCGCGCATGCTGTACGTGCACAGTCCTTAACGAAAATAACAGCTGAGACAGTCCCCCGTGTGTGTGTGTGTGTGTGGGGGGGGGGGGAGGACAGGAGAACACGCAGCTAATTAATTAAATAATGTGGTTCTGTACCTTTCTCTTCAGCACAGCCGACAAAGGTTTATGATGGGTCAGTCCTCCTGCATGCTCAGATCATTCCCTTCCCTTGCTTGAAAAATTGTTCCAAAATGAAAGTTGAACCCACAACTTTTTTATCTGTGAATTCAATGCCGTTCGGCGAGTCTCAAATAAAAATTTGGGCATCTTACTGTAAAAAAATACCATTAATGTAAAAAATAAACTCTAAATAAACTATGTTCACATCCAGAATCAAACCCAGGTCTCCTGCATGAGAGTCAGACGTCTTACTAGGTGAGCTAAATCACCAGTAACATCCTTTGTATCTGTAACGTTTATATCCTTGATGACAGCTGAAACAACGTCAAACCAAAGAACGGTTCGGAGTGAAAATGGCTATTTTGCTGCTAATTAGCAGGAAATATCTAGAAGAAAGTTCTACAGAAAGTAGCTAAGGGTCCTCAGAAATGTAGCTAGCTTTGTCACTAGGCGTTAGGAACAGCGACAAAGTGGCACTGCCTCTCTCTCTGCTGCTAAAGCTACGGATAGCAAATGCTACGGGCTACGCCTGAGCGTGAACGCGCATGAAGCAGCCTGCTCGACCCGAGCATCTCTCTTTTTCTGTGATTTTACAGAAAAACAGGCAATCACAGTAAAAATGCCAGGGCTCATTCTACAGGACCAGGGCATTGCAGGAGAACGTATGAAGAAGACATTTATTATTTCTATACATGTTTTGGCTGTCACACTTCCATAATGTCCCTTTAAATCTCTGTGATCCATCTGCTTTCTCTGGCACCACACATGGGTTTACAGTACATGATACACTTCAAAACCATTTTTTTTTCACCAAAAACACATTTCAATTAAAAAATGAAAACAACAAAAGCGGTTAAATGAGTCTGTGGGCTGATTAACTCATGTTTACTCAGACTCTTTCAAGTCAGACCCGTTACAAAAAACTTCCATTATCCCAAACAGATCACTCATTTGGATTCAAGGTATTCCGATGTCACAAAAAGGTCGTATTTATGGTATGGAAATGTAATCTGTGCTGTTGTTGCGTCCCTCCGCCCCCACCCTGCACTGATTGCTGATTGATTGCACCTGCACCTGATAAACTGCTAAGCTATCCGTCGCTCTGAATCTGCAAAACGTGGAAGAATCTCTCAAAGGCTGAAATATTTGCCATTACACTTAGCGATGCGTTTTGTGCACCAGAGCACGACGCAATCAATACGCTGCAAAGAAAAGTTTGATCTCAGCTGCATGGAAGGACACCGAAGCGGCCTGTGGGAGGGGAACCTCTTCAGTCAGCTTTCAGGGACAAACCGAAGACCAGCGGACCCGTTGGTGGAGAATCATTTAGTTAAACACAAGGTTTGTTGTTGGGACTGAGCTATTTTCACAGCGTCAAGCCATTTCTGCAATCAGATATGCCTTAACTGAATCTTTGTACCAATGTTTTTCTTCTTTGTTCCTGCAACCTGGCAGCTACTAAAACAAGTAAATAAATAAAGTTTATTTCTATTGTCGTCGTCTTCCTCCGCTTATCCGGGTCCGGGTCGCGGGGGCAGCATCCCAACTAGGGAGCTCCAGACCATCCTCTCCCCGGCCTTGTCCACCAGCTCCTCCGGCAGGACCCCAAGGCGTTCCTGGACCAGATTGGAGATGTAACCTCTCCAACGTGTCCTGGGTCGACCCGGGGGCCTCCTGCCAGCAGGACATGCCCGAAACACCTCCCCAGGGAGGCGTCCAGGAGGCATCCTGACCAGATGCCCAAACCACCTCAACTGGCTCCTTTCGATCCGGAGGAGCAGCGGTTCTACTCCGAGTCCCTCCCGAATGTCCGAGCTCCTCACCCTATCTCTAATGCTGAGCCCGGCCACCCTACGGAGGAAAGTCATTTCGGCCGCTTGTATCCGCGATCTCGTTCTTTCGGTCATTACCCAAAGCTCATGACCATAGGTGAGGATTGGGACGTAGATCGACCGGTAAATCGAGAGCCTGGCTTTCTGGCTCAGCTCCCTCTTCACCACGACAGATTGGTTCAGCGTCCGCATCACTGCAGACGCCGAACCGATCCGCCTGTCGACCTCCCGATCCCTCCTACCCTCACTCGTGAACATTTCTATTGTGCCAATCAAAATTAAAACATAACAAAAGAATAAAAGATAATAATTAATCAAATAAAGATCAATAAAAACATAAAAGATCATTTGAAAAAATACAAAAGTTTTAAGCAAAACAAGCCCTTTTTGTTTCACTTGACCATTTTATTAATTCTTTTTTCATTTTTTCCTGCCCTTTTTTTAGGTCGATGCTTTATTAGGATTTTTTTATTATTTTCTGGTAACATTTCATTTCAGACAGCTTAAGGTAGTTTTTCAAAGGGAAGAATTACGGAGCCACAGGCTTTTATACTGTAAATCACCTCAACGGCCCACAAGCTGCAACAGAACAAAGACATGGACGCTATCGAACAGATTCATGGCCACAATGTGAAGAGGATGAAATGGAAGAACCGGCCCTTTCTGACCTCTATCTTTAATCTGGGTCTTTTTTATTACCGTAAAGAGCATTTTCACCCTGAGGCCCCGTTAATTTCTCACGCACATGTGCGTCGTCACCTCCACGCACAGCGGGCAGCAGTGACATGACTAAAGTGAACCCTCTTCCCGCTCCCACCCAGCCCACTCGAGTCCACATATTTCGCTGTGTAACATTAATGTCTAACCTCTAACAACCTCTCTGAGGAATATTAACATTTGTTCACAAAGCAGCCCTGGACTCTGTGCAAAGACTACAGGTGAGGCAACTTATAAAATAATGTGATTCCTGTGGCGCCGAGGTCTCTTACCGCCGCTTCCATCTCTGCTCTAATGAGGGAATCCTGCGGGGCCTTGAGGTCTGAAACAGGCCCTCGTTAACCCAGAGATGAGGCTGTTAGGACCAGAAAAATCGGCCACCTGCTACAGCAAGAGCATACGAAGGTGTGGGTAAGAAGAGATAATAATGTCAATTAAAGTGAAATAGGAGTTTATAACTTGGATAGTGTCATAATATTAGTCTAGAGGCAGAGAAAAGGGTAAGAAATTGGATTAATGCTGGATGAAATCCAGTCACAAGACAATTATTTGAGTTTAATGGTGAATTTTTAAGTTATTTAGCTGGATTAAAATGCTCAAATAAACATTTTTTTTCACAGCTCCAAAGAAGCTGGGACAAACAATGATGCACTTATTCACCATCATAGCGGGAACATTTACATTTAGCCACGTTTCAGAGGAAACTCGTTCAGACTCCAAGTTGAGCTGTCTAAGGAGGTGTGTAATATTACTGATTTTCATGCTTGATAGCATAATAAACTCTTGTATACAAGAAAAATCTCCTCTTTTCAACAGAAGTGGGTGTGCCGCAGGGTTCTGTCCTTGGGCCGGTCCTGATCTACCAAATTCTTTCCCCAATGTCTCCACTCTAATGTATGCAGACGATGTTGTCGTCTACACCCAAGCCATTAACAGTCAACAAGCTGCCTCTAACCTCACAGCGGCCTCATCTCTTCTACACGACTCATGCCTTTTGTTGAATTCTAACAAAACTATCCTTTTGTATTTCTCTGAACGGCATCGGGAACCAAGGACATCACGAATCTTCTATAATGGAACAGAGCTAGATCAAGTCTCAAATTTTAATAGGGATGCACCGATCAGGTTTTTTGTTGCCGATCACCAATACCGATATCAAAGAATGCTGATCACCGATACCGATCACCGATACCGATCACGTGGATTGGCCAGAAATTTTCTACAACATTATAATGAGTGCTACAAACTACATAATCTGGGAATAAAGGAAATGTAACCTAATCGAAAATGGTCTGTATTAGGGTCGTCACGGTGTGAAAATTTAACCTCACGGTTATTGTGACCAAAATTACCACGGTTTTCGGTATTATCGCGGTATTTTTTTTAAATGTGCTACATTTTCACACAATTAAATAAACCCTGTATGTCAGGAAATATAGTCCTCAGTTTGTTTTTAAAATGCCAATATTTGCCCATAACTTCTTATTTTTTGTCTGTTTGATGTCATCATTTTAAAAATATTAGTTCAGATGATACTCAGTACTCAAGTAGCCTTCTAATCAGATACTTGTTTACCCTTACTTGAATAATAAACCCTATATCAGGAAAATGTTGTCCTCGGTTTGTGTCCTTCCAGTGAGCTTTGCAGATGTGGGAAAATGTCATCAGGCAGTAATCATTGTTAAATTCATAATTATTCTCGGAGAGAGACCAACTCTTATCTGCCCCTGGGAGCCCCGTAATGCTAAGCGTCATTTCAACATGGCGGTGTCCGCGACACGGTTTATATGCAGGTAGCGGCGCTGCGGCTGCTTTATATAGCGACTCGTTGCATTCTCCCTCAACCCAAATCCTCGGATCACACATTTTAGCTAAAACGCTAACGTTAGCTTGCCTTGCGTTGACTGTAGAGTTGTGGGTGATGGTCACGCAGATGTGTCATGAGATTTGAAGCGTTGCTGCCTTTCACAGACACTTTTTCTGCACGTGCTGCAAACAGGATAGCCGTCTTCTATCAGCTGTCCCTCGGCATTCTTCAGATATCTAAAAGATGCCCGTACTTCCCACTTTGTCTTCTTTGAGGGATAAAAAATGTCCTCCTGAGCGCTGCCGTCTCCACCTTTGGCCATTATTTCAGCTTTAGGTTCAAGAAAGTTTTGGTTGTAAACAACAAAGTGCGCATGTGCCGCCGGCAACTTCAGCCGATGATACGGTGGCTGGTAAGGGTCACCGCGCCTACACCGCAGCCACGGTAACCCACCAAGATAATATAGTTTTTTTTAAACAAGACGGTTATTATTATTGTCAACTTTTTTTTTTTATCGGGGTTTACCGCTACACTGGTTACCGTGACAACCCTACCTTATCGGTCTGCTTTGATCTATTTTGAAAATTCCGATCAAAACCGATAGGGGCGCTATCGGCCGATTACGATCAAATGCCGATCCATCGGTGCATCCCTAAATTTTAATACCTTGGTGTAGTCGTAGATACCACCTTGACATTGAAATTGCACATAAAAGTCACTCCAGCCATCAAATTTTATCTTTGAAACTTTCAGTATATCTGTAGCAGTCTGACTTCAAGTGCTGCCAAACATATTTTCATTCTATGATGATCTCACACTGATTGCTGTTGAACTACTTGGATGATTTCATGCACCACAGCACTAAAAACCGTAGAAAGTGTTAACAAGAAAGTTCTACAAATACTAGACAGCAGGGGCGGTGTTAGGCCCGGCTACTTGGGCTCAAGCCCGGATGTTTTATGAAAAGCCCCGGATCTAAATCGTGGAAGTAGCATGCAGTACCAAAGTCCAACAGAGAGGGCGCTGCTGGCAGTAGTTTGTATACAGCCTGCCTGAGCCTCCACCACTGAAGAAGAAGCCCTTCAGCAGCCGGCTTCTTCTGCACTCTCTGCCTGAAACGCATGAGTGAAGATGGACATAAGGACGTTTTTTAGACCAAAAGTACGGCGACAGAACCCCAGCTTTGATGAGACTGGTGTTGACTCAGGTTTGTGAGTCTTATTAGAAAATATTTGTTGTGCTGCTTGATAGGTAATTTTTCATTTATCCCATATTACCTTAAAGGACGACACACACATAGAGAGAGAGAGTAGATTAATCATTCGTAATGTCCATGAGCGCGAATCAACATGTGAGAAGCTGGTCGCAGAAATCCCAGCCCCCACTCTGCTCTGGACAAAGCTCCTTCAGCTCACCAGCTCTGCCTACCTGCATTCTCCACCAAAATGTTGGGTAATATTTAATCTCCACAACCCTGAAACCTGAAATTAACACACATGACAAAAGGAAGACATTTTACCCTGAGTCCCCAAAATAATGGAGAGTTAACGCAGGGGAAAACCTCCTCCAAGGCTTTTCCCATGTCACTCACATGTGTTCTCAGTTCGTCAGGGGCTATATTCAGCAAAGGATGGAGAAGGCGGGGCCTTCTCAGGTTACAGAGGTACAGAGGTTTCTTTGGAAATCCACAATCAACATCCTTGACTGCAAACGAGCTTCTCTGCTCAACCTTTCATTAACAGCCACAGTTGGCAAACACAGAGATTCATGAACTGTTAATAACACAAACTGTGCATCTTTTAGGCCTCAAAAAGGTACAATTATAAAAATACCCAAAACTGCTGGTTTGCCTAAAGTTAGCATACTATCAGGTAAAGTTCTTGCAGAAAAAAAGGGAATATTTACTATCATCTCACACTAAACACTAACAGGAACAATACTCTGCCCTGAATATGCTTCATATGTAGCTTCAGATTAAAAATTATGTGGTACAAGACAAATATATATGATGTTGACTAGTGCGTATCACGTGTGTGTGTGTGTGTGTTAAGCCCCGGATCTTCTTCAGTCCTTAATCCGCCCCTGCTAGACAGAAAACCTCTAACCCACCATTACTAACCCATATTTGTCAAATTCTACAAGAATACGGGTTACCGGACTTCCAGAACATGATTTATTTAAAAACAGCATGATTCAGTTGTGCACTGTCTTGCTTCTGCACCTCTTAAGAGAATTAATTTCATGTCAAAACAACTCACTCAGAACCACGCTAGCCACTACCAGAGGTGATATGGTGACACCACACACCACCTGTGGTTAGACTGTTATCTGTCCCATGACTTCATGAGAAAGCCGTACTTTTTACAGCTTTAAAGCAAAATAAAATAAAAAAGGGCTATTATCTAGCCAAAAATGTAACCATTAGAGGGTACATTCCAGTAACACTTATTCGTTTGTGCAGATTTTATTCACAAGTGTCATACATGGCGCCACCGGTCCCTCCGACCACCACCAGCAGACAAGGTGGATTAAGTGTCTTGCTCAAGGCCACAACAGCAGAATTCTCTGTCCGGAGCTGGGATTGAACCTGCAACCTTCCATTTACTGGACAACCCGCTCAACCTGTTGAGCTACTGCTGCCCCTATAGATATATAGATAAATAGAGATACGTAGATATAGATAAATAGAGATACGTAGATATAGATAAATAGAGATACGTAGATATAGATAAATAGAGATACGTAGATATAGATAAATAGAGATACGTAGATATAGAGCCAGACAGACCGACAGACCGACAGACCGACAGACCGACCGACCGACCGACCGACCGACCGACCGACAGACAGACAGACAGACAGACAGATAGATAGATCGATAGATCGATAGATAGATAGATAGATGTCATACATTATTTAGTTAAAAAGCCTGATATACAAATGCATAAATAATATATGGAAACAGAACCAAACACAGCTTTGTTTTCATTGGCAGAACTCAATAATCTTCATATTATGTAAATTATCACAATATTAAGACCTCAAACCATCCTATTCTACTCAAACAAATGGCACTTATTTAGTGAACACTATCATTGGAGGCCCAACATTATGCACTGATTCCTGCTATTTCCAGATAAGTATTTGCATTTGATCTCCAAGCTCGCAGCTGTTTCTGTATTATGGCATGAAAATGCCGAGCTGCTAATTCTGAAAACTGTTCGTATTAAATGGTGCCGTTTTCTCAGTAAGCATTTTTTGAGACCCTGTCGATATTTAAATATTAACAAGAAGTGCTGCTGATGAATCAAACATTATAAAATCAGAACTGATCATCGGCCTGAAGACGAAAGCGCTCACGTCTTGTTTCCTGGGATGGATTGAGACGTTGATCTACTTAACATCAAGGTCGAAACACATCTCATCCCTTATCCTCCTCTTCTGGTTGCTTTCCCGCAACCACTGGCTTCCTCAAAGTGTGTCGGAAAATCCAACTGGCAGCCCTAGTGTAGCGTGAGTTAAAGGCCGTGCTAACATTCGTTTCTGGGTATTCCTCGTGTCGTCTCTCGCATTGAAACTGTCACCCAAATGTGCGTGCTCCAGTGAGTTTGACTTGCCCTTTGACCTGAGGTCGGGGCATAAGAAAGAAAACTGAGGGGGAACAGATATTCCACTCACCCTGGTTCGGAAAGGACCGGGTGCAGAATGACCTGCGGAGCTCTGCTGGGAGGCGCCTCTGGAGTAACATCTGCAGACATCAAAGTCACAACACATCTCAACAAAAGCAAACGTGACGTGGACCAGCAGTGGAAATATCTAAAACACATTGGTGCAAAGTTGCAATTAAGATGTGATCTTGACTGTGTGGGCAGTCATCCACGTTTACCAGACGTCAGGTCCCATACGGTGCCAGCCATCATTTCAAACAACACTTATTTAGATTGTTGTGTAAACTTTTTTTGTTTATTTTATTCTGATTGATGCGACCAGGTTTCTGAAAACATTTGAAATATGTTCTAGATGTCTGTGGTGATTTTGTGGTTAATATAAAACTCAATTAAGAAGAATAAGAAAACCTTTATTAGTCCCTCAGTAGGGAAATTGCAATGTTGCAATGGCTCAGGTACAGCAGGATAGCAGCAGCAGCACACAAGATATCGCACACGAGTACATAGTATTTGTAAGTTAAGATAACTATTGCACATGGTAATGAGAGTGGTAGTTATATTGCACATGTTTTGAAAAGGTTGTATTTGCAGCGGAAGGTTACGGATGTATGGTGTCTATTAGCAGTGACTGTTGCAGCAGGGAGGAAAGATCTGTGGCATCTCTCCTTCGTACAGCGAGGGTGGATCAGTCCGTTACTGAAGCTGCTCTCTAGAGCAGGGACAAGGCGTCCTGCAGGGGGTGTGACCCATGGTCCAGGATGGGTCTGAGTTTTCCCCCACCTCTCGTACTGAGTCCAGAGGACAGCCCAGGACAGAGCTGGACTTCTTTATCAGCCTGTCCAGGCCTGCAGCCTGTGCTTCTTAGACAATTAGACAAAAAATAAATTCCTTGAACACATTTAGGCTGTGTCTC